GAAAAAAAAAAAAAAAAAAAAAGGAAAAAAAGAAAAGGAAAAGGCTTTATGTAAATAAATAAAACTTTGTTCTACTTTTGCATTACTTAGTTAAGTCTTTTTTTAAAATAAACAACATTTATTATTTACTATTTACCATGTTTTAAAAAACTAAGTAAAATTTTTAAAACAATTTTTTTATTTTTAAAATCCGAGTAGAATTTTATTTATTCAAGAATCGGAAGAAAATAAATATAAAGTAAAAAAATATTTATAGGCAGAGAATTTACACATAAAAATAATAATAAAAAGTAGAAGGTTCTGTCGAGTCAAGAGGGGCAGGGTGGCTGGTGAGGAACCAAAATTCAATGTGAGTTGCTGAGAGGTCAGAAGTAGAGGGCCAAACCGTACACAAATTTAAGCGCCTCTCTCTCTCTCTCCCCACCATTTTCTCAATTTTATTTTTAGAAGAATTTTTAATTCAATTTAAAAATATTAAGGGAGACCAGTAAGGGGTAATTTCGTTATTTTATTTTATTTTTTATTTTAACAAAATCTATATTAGCATGAATTTAAAATATTTTTATTGGGAAAAAGAAATACGAAATAAATGTAATATTTTGATTTAAAAAGAAATACGAAATAATTGTATGGCAATTAAATAAATAGAAGAAAATGAATTTTATTGGGAAAAAGAACGGAAGGTTTTGTGTTGTGTTATTTTCGAAGTCTGGCACGTGTTCGGCGGCCCTTCTCCTCCACACGCGGCAGTTCTATAAAACCCTCCAAACCCCCACCACTCTTATCTGTCTTTCTCCTGATCCCCTCTCCGACATGGAAGCTCTCGACTTCGTTAAGCTCCATAATCTCTACGCCCATTTTTCCTCCATTGTTGAAACTGCATATAATCTGAATCGTTCTGACAATCACGATGAAGATTCATTCTTCGATTTGGATTTCGTCTCTCTTCCAACATCAGAAACCGGCAAATCTCCCGACGAGAAGAATCTCACACGCTCCGGCGAAAACGAACTCTGCTTCCCTCAACGGAATCTTCTTCGCTCCCAATCTGATCTCATCTCCAAACGAAAAATCCTTCCGATTGAACTCAGTTCGAAGCCAGAGTCTCCGGTTTCAGTTTCGATTCTAAAATCGGCACCTAGACTCTCAATTTCCTTGTTCAAGAAGCCGAAATTAATGGCGAAACAGAAGACTGACGAAACAGAGTCGGCCTCACTCAAATTACAGAACACAGAGAGCAAACGATTCGCCTTCAAACTGAACAGACTTAACAGTTCCAGAAACAATAATCGAATTGATGCATCTGAGCGTCAATCGAAGAGATTCTCCGGAGAAGGAATACAGAAGTATCTGAAATTAATCAAGCCTCTGTACGTGAAAGTTTCGAGGAAACAAAACTACAGATCGTCGCCGGTATCTTCACCGGTGACATCAATTGATGAGAAGCAGAGGAATATTGCGATAGGCATTCGAGTGGTTTGTAGGCGTCTAGGGAAGAGTAAATCATCATCATCAGCGACTGGAATGGCCGTATCGCCGACGAATCGGCGAGACGATTCGCTTTTGCAGCAAGACGACGGGATTGAGAGCGCGATTTTGCACTGCAAAAGGTCTTTCAGCGCTAGCAGAGGCAAGATCCAAAAGCAAAAAACTCGAACGTGTTTTATTTCCTTAATGCCTTAATTTGAGATGAAAAATCTGTAGATCTAACATTCATTTCAATCTAAATTTCAGATGATGTTGATGGAACTTGTGACGATAATCTGTTCGGGACTGGCGATTTGCAGAAGCAGAAGGCGGGAACAGATGCTTTCTCAGAAGCCAAACAAGGCGAACAGCGTTGAAGAGAGAAGAGATTGTGTGTGTGTGAAAGTTTTTCGGGTTTCGCTGTAAAAAGATGAAAAAAATCAAACTGAATTAGACAGTGCATGACAGTTTTCGTTTTTTCTTTTCTTAGAAAACGATAAACAGTGACTCGGTGAGTCTTGTAGTGGCTGACTCGCTCCGTCGTGTATTTACTAAATAATATTTAAAAATCATGATTTTCTATGTATTTATATTCCTTTGTTTTTACCAAGTAGTTAAAGTTTTACCGTCGGATTAAAAGTTAATAGTTATTGGTAAAAATCATAGCTAAAATACTTATATTTAAAAAAATAATAATAAAAAATAGTATGCGGAAGAAAAAAGAAAATTAGTTGGTCAAAAAATGAAATGATTTGTGACATTTATTGTTATATGGATAATCTTTTGGACTTTTGTGCACAAATGTAATAATTAAGGAGGTCAAAATAGGAGGAATCTTTATATATTAATTTACTATTGGGGTTCTCCTTTTTGAAAAACGACACCTATTCTATTCGTCTAGCCCTCTTCATTTTCCTTCCTCCTCCTTTAAAAGTAAAGTTTTGAAACTTTTACAGACCTTTCCTCAACTTTCGCTAATACCACAACTTATGAAAAGAATAAAAATTAAATCACGAGACTTATAATATAATTCGAATAAAAATTAAATTATATTGGTTAAATTTTACGTGGATTTGACGAGGAGACAGTAAATTATAAAGGGTAAATTTGAAATTTTGGAAAATATAGTAATTGTTTAAGAAAAAGGAAGGGACTTTACCAAATTGGAAGGCCATTGGATAAATTCAACAAGAAAGAAGCTTTTTTTATTTCACTTTGGAACACATGTATTCAGAATTTTACTTCAGTTTGGGACATCAAAAGCAGCATTTTTACTTGCTTTTATTCAACAAAAGGCTTGGCTAATTAGTTCAAAATGAAAAAGCATATAAATGCTTTCTGTCTCTCCATTCAACCCTTTGCATTCTTTCTTTGGTTTAATTACTATGAATTTGAAAGATATGGAATCGAATGAAATTCCCAACTTTATTATTTTTTTAATAGGCTTGCCTAATTGAATTCATTTAATCTTGGCAAAATTCAAATATTATATTTTTTTTACTTTATCTGATTTAGGAAATTAATTTCCAATATTTTTCATCCAGAGGAGAGAGAGTGGTTAATTTAATTGGGCTTTTCACGGCCCACGACTACCCAAACTGCCCATAACCATTGCACCAATTATTTCACGTGGCCCAAACGCCATGATTCATTGAGAAAATAATATTAAATTTTAATGAAATTGTTATGTATGCCACGTGGGATTAATTCGAGATATCCCATTATTCCCACGTAGGATTGGATAAACAGAACTTTTTTTTTTTTTTTAATATTATTAAAATGTTAAGTAGGCAAAAGAGTTTTGTCTTTTGTGTTGCAACAAGTGCGTTTTAAATTATATTGCAGTGTATAAAACGACGACGTCCAATAAAAGAAAATGGAGGGAGGTGTCACGGGCTGGCTGGCCCCTTCTGAATATTCCCTTTATTTAATTCTAAGAAATTGCAGCATTCCCCCATTTCGCTTCTTCCAAAGTCAAGACTGACCAAGAGAAACACAATCTGTGAGGATGCTACAGTCGGCTCGTGAGCTCTGATGTCTACAAAGGCTGGTTTTGGTCCTAGGATGCGTGGGCTTCCATTTTTAATTCCTCATGTGACAAACTTTTATTATTATTATTATTATTATTATTTATTTGTAATAAGAGACTGCGTCCATTATTACACCATCCGTATAATGTAAATTTCAAGAGAAAATGGACTGTCCACTTGGAAATCACATTCTAAACCCATCTGCATGGTTCCGACAACTGTTATATGATCTCATAAATATATTATTATATGCTCTTAAAATACGTATTCAATTAAAAGTTTTATAAATATCAGCAAATTCTGCTATATTCAAATTATTGGCTAATTCCTCTTTAATTTATTTAGTTATTTTTATTTAATATCTCCTGTTTATATTTCAATAAATAATTGAATCTTGTCCCAACTCCTCTTCATGGCATTGCCAAGTGCCGATTCTGACTTTTGACTTCATTAAAGATAATAAATATTAAAAAAAAAAAAAAGAAACAAAAAAAGGCATGCAATATTTGAGAGCCACAAGTTTTCCTTCACTTTCTCAGGTACGTAATGTGCGTTCACTGTCAACAAGTTCGAAAATGAAATTCAGCCTCTAGATAGAATTAAATGATTATAAATATAATTCATGGATATTTTTTTATTTTCGATATATACAAAATATATCTTACTCAAAATTCTTATTTAAATAATTTCATAAAGAATATTTTAAATTTTGAACAATTTTTTCTTTTTTTCATAAACACAATAATTGAACGAGATATAAGCTTTTATTTGACAATTTTTTTTGAGGATCTAATTGGGAAGTTAAAATACATCAGGGGTAAAACCGAGAATTTGAAGGCAAAAAACTAAATTATTTTCATAATTTGTTCCTTACGTTATTTCATTTCATTTCTCCTCCAAATCTCTGTCTCTATCTCTCTCACTTCTCTCGCCGTCAGAAAGATTTCTCTCTAATGGAAGAAGACCAACCACGGACACAGCCACCGCCGTCGCCGCCGTCGAGAAGCTACACATTAACGGCATCGTCAATCTCCTACGCGAAATCCACGGCCGCTGCCACCGTGTCGTCGTACAGCTGGTTCAAATCCTGCACCGCGGCCGAACCCACCTACATTATCCGTGACATCTCATTCACAGCCCACCCTTCTCAAATCCTCGCCATCGTTGGCCCAAGTGGCGCCGGAAAATCAACTCTCCTAGACATTCTCGCAGCCCGAACCTCGCCAACACACGGCGTCCTCCTCCTCAACTCCGCCCCTCTCAACCCTTCTACCTTCCGTAAACTCTCCGCTTACGTCCCACAGCACGACGCCTGTCTACCTCTCTTAACCGTCTCCGAGACCTTCGCCTTTGCCGCCCGCCTCCTCCTCCCAGAAAAATCCCAAATTCTCGCCACCGTCAACTCCCTTCTGGCAGACCTCAACCTCACCCACGTCGCCAACACCCGCCTCATCTCTGGCCTGTCAGGCGGAGAACGGCGGCGAGTCTCAATCGGCCTCAGCCTCCTCCACGATCCAGCCATTCTACTCCTGGACGAACCCACCTCCGGCCTCGACAGCGCATCAGCCTTCAACGTGATCTCAACGCTTAAATCCATCTGCGTATCGCGAAATCGGACGGTGGTGCTTTCAATTCACCAGCCAAGTTATCGAATTTTGTCGGCTATCGATGAGATTCTCTTACTTTGTGAAGGGTCCGTGATTCACCACGGGACTGTTTCGAGCCTCGAGAGCTTTTTGGTTTCCAAGGAATTTTGTATTCCTCCACAGCTTAATCCTTTGGAATTTGCTATGGAAATTCTGAACCAGCTCACGCCTTGTTCGACTTCAGATTCTTCGCCCGTCGTTGCTAATGACGTCGTTGCTAAAGACAATCAAATCAAATATAGAAGCTCGAGATTGCATGAAATCTTGACCCTCCATTGGCGATTTTGGATCATCATTTTTAGAACCAGGCAGCTGCTTTTGACCAACACTTTGGAGGCGCTCATCGTTGGAATTGTTTTAGGTAATCCCTCTTAATAAAATTATAAATATAAATAAATGTTTTAATTACGGTGAATTAATTTTGATAAAAATATTATTATTGTATAATTGTAAATAGGTACAATTTACATAAACATCGGAATGGACAAGGCAGGGATAGAGAAAAGATTCGGTCTTTTCGCCTTCACACTAACATTCCTACTCTCTTCCACAACCGAAACTCTCCCCATTTTCCTCAACGAACGCCCAATTCTCCTCCGTGAAACCTCCGCCGGCGTCTACCGTCTCTCCTCCTACATAATCGCCAACACCCTCGTTTTCCTTCCCTATCTCCTCGCCATCGCCGTCATCTACTCTGTCTCCGTCTACTTCCTCGTTGGGCTATGCGCCACGTGGCAGGCCTTCTCCTACTTCGTCCTCGTGATTTGGGTCATCATTCTGATGGCCAATTCGTTTGTCTTGTTCTTGAGCTCCCTCGCTCCGAATTTCATCGCCGGGACGTCACTGGTTACCGTTCTCCTCGCCGCGTTTTTCCTTTTCTCCGGCTACTTTATATCCCAGGAGAGCTTGCCCAAGTTCTGGGTGTTTATGAACTTCATGTCCATGTACAAGTACGCTCTGGACGCCTTGCTTATAAACGAATATTCCTGCTTGGTTTCCAGATGCTTCATTTGGTTTGAGGAGGATCGAAAGGAGTGTTTGGTTACCGGTGGAGATGTGTTGGTGAAGAGAGGGCTTGATGAGAATCAACGGTGGAGGAACGTTTATGCTTTGGTCGCGTTTTTTGTGTTTTATCGCCTTCTTTGCTTGCTTGTTTTGATTCGAAGGGTTTCTACATCTAAGAAATGATAATAATTATTATTATTTATTGTGAACTTATAAAAGGGTATATTTGGGAAAACACTCTCTTAATTATTATTTGCATGTTGTTGATTTTTTATTTTTGAAATTATAGAGAACGTTTTCTTTTCGTTTTTATTTTAGATTTCTTATTTAAAAGTATTAACTTAAATTATGAAAATGATTTTAAAACATAATATGTTCTGATAACTCCTAACCTTCAAATAATTAATTAATGATTAAAGAATAAAATGAGTGAATGATAAATTAAAAGCAAATTAAGAAGTATTATCTTTCATAATTAAAATGTGTCAATTATTTGGCCTTTACGAAGAATAAAACTATGATAAAGAAGGTGAGGATTTAATCAGATGGGGCAAATTGTCCAAAATACCCCGCATGCAAAACTTTCTACAATTATTTATAGGATTTGAATTTTCTTTCAACCACAAATTCATTTTTCTTTATGGAAACGTCAAAATCATTCAAAAAATATATGGTCTCAAATTGGCTTCCATGAAATGCTTAATAATAATAATAATAATAATAATGAAATAAGTGACGTTTAAATCATTGAAATAAAAACATGTCACGGGTGCTTTAGAAATTTTGATTTGCAGATATAAAAAAATGAAGAGAGAGAGGGTTTTGTTTTGTCTGATGGTGAAACGAATCAGTACCAAAATATTCACTCACGGGTTAGTCTTCTTCTTTTTTTTTTTTTGTCTGGATTTGTTCGACATTATTAGAAATTATGAACCTCCACTTTGCTTTGGGTTTTCCCAAAAGACTTCGTACTAATAAAGACAACATTGTTCAATTATAAATTTATGATCGAAAAGAATAAGCAAAACATTGGTTGTATTTAGAGAAATATTTTGATCACAGATCAGGTATCCATTTCTTGAACTCCATACCATGTGGAGGGCTAGGTTCAAGCTTGTTTGATCCCACATCCATCCAGTTGGTGGAGAGGACCGTGCCGTTCAATTCCAACTAAGAACAAACAAGATTACACACTCCAACCAATAATTATAGAGTTATACTTAAACATCTACAACTACTTCAGCAACAAGAAGCCTTACAAATGATCTTTCCATCGCCCTTCTTGTATCCTCGTCCGCGTCCTTATACATGTCTTTGAAACACTTATCCAAAGCTGCATCCCCATATAATGTCACCTCTTTCTCCTAAAAACAACAAACAATTACTGCTAATTTAAGGCAAACAATCAAAACAGCAGACAATAATCACACCTCTGTTTTCACTTCGGCTTCAATCTTGTTCCCAATCAGTTCTTCACATTCTTTTATTAATTTCGTGAATCTTGAGTCTCCTGAGGCCAAAACGGAGCCTATTTCCAAAGAAAACTTTGCTGTTTTATATTCCTCCAGCTTCATTTATGTGATGCTGAAACAAAAACACCCACAAGAAGAATAAAAATTATATAGTCAATAATAAAAGATGAAAATAAACAATCCATATTTACCCTCTGCGCAAGTATGCTTTTGAATTTGAAGGGTCAATTTCAATTGCCTTGTTAGCATCAGCAAGAGCCTCTGCAAACATAAGCCCGAATAATAATTTTTAAAAATCTCCGAATAATTGTCCAAAAGAAGTCCAAAACCGATCAAAGACTATTTACATGATCAATTGGAGGGGCCATACCCTATAAAAAAGAAGCATAAGGAAACAAGAAATTGGATGGACAGAAAGCAGTACCGATGTAAAGGCCGAGTTTGATGTTGGCCTGAGCACGGTCAACATAATACTCGCGTTCTCCGGACTAAGAGTGATGGCCTGAGTGTAGAGTTTCACGACAAGTTAAGTTCGGAGTTGTCATCGATAAACTTTTCCTTAGACTTGGCTTCGAGATTGGACGCCATGAAAGAATGCAGAGGGTTCTTGAGGGGAGGAGAAAGATCGAGGATTTGTGAAAGAATTTGATTCACTTACGAGTCTTGATAAATAGTAACAGCAATCGGAAAACAGAGAAGTAGGGTATCAAAAAACCAACGTTAAATTAGGGAAGAAATCAAGAACCTTGAAGTTTAGGGTAATTAAAGCTCAATTTTTAATTACATCAAAGTTTCATTTTCATTTTTCAACATCAAATTTAATTAAAGATCCTTTTTGTCAACTTTTTTTTTTCTTCCGTGGCACTGGTACAGATTTTAATTAAGCATTTTAACTTTAGGACGGGTTTTAATTATGCCCCGAAAATTTAAGTTAAGCTTCAAATATGTCCTTAACTTAATTTTAAATGAAAACAATTGTTTCATAAGCATTAAAACGTAAGCATTGCAGCCACTACCCATTATCACGAACTTGCTACTCATTGTCATAATTGATACTGATTCTCATTGTAAAATTTGAAGAAGGCAATGAAAAGGTGAGCTTATGTAATTCCAGAATTGGTGAAAAATTATTGAAGATAACAATCATACCTGCATACAGGACTCTATAGGAGAACAAACATAGTTAAATAACATCAAGCCCAAGAACAAAGAACGGCTTTCCATTCTGAAACTCGAATCCTCCAATGATAAAAATGGGTTCACTCTGTCACCTGAGATGTTTTCTTGGCTGAGTCTACTTTTTGTGCACCATCACCACTAATGGCTTCCAGCGTTTTGTAAAACTCTTCAGGGAGAGGACCGGGTCGGTGCAGAGGAACGTGCTTGGGTACCGGAGCATCATTCTCGATTACTTCGCATTCGTAGTCATCAGGAACACCCCAGGGATCCCACTCTGCATATTTGAGGTGAATTAATCAATCACTAAGATAACACCAACAAATTGTGGTGATTCATAGAATTCTATTACGGTCCATATCTGAAATAATTCTGAGTGTTCGCCAAATGCAGCAAGACCAGAGAAGTTAGGCAAACTAGTAATTACTCTCAATCAAGCACAAAAAGTGTCGGTGAATTGGGACAAGAAAACCTCCTTTAAGATTGGGACAAGAAAAAAAAAAAAAAACCTGTCATCAGTGAAGAAATTCAAATTTCTTGGCTAGACAATAACTCCAGCTTGACTAACTTTTAACGTTTTCAATCCACCGCAGAGAGACCAAAAGACGAGAATTTCGAACGTTCAGTGACGTGAATGGGTCAAATAGCAATCCAATTGCCTAAATGGTAGCTAAGGAGACAGAGCAGTGAAGGACCTGGGATTCGTAACTGAAGATATGAAAGATAATGCTCTTACAATAAAATGATTATATATCTAGACAATTTCCATAGCTAAAATATCTCATGTTAAGACGAAAAGGAAATCAAAGATTTCTACTACCCATAAGGCCCATCGTTCGACCAGTTAAGAAAAAGGTAAACTGGAAGAAGGATAAATACACCTTAACCTACAGGTATTGCCCAGTTTTTCAGTGCAAAATGATGCAAATGCCATTCCTTGACTCTCAATACTTGAGAAGTCGCGAATTTTTATCCTCCACATGATGAAAATACTAGAAAAAAACTTCGGCTTTTGTCATTCCAACGCAATGACAAACATATAAATCCTGCTGCCTTGTTTTTGTCCAATTTTAAAATTCGCTCCCAAATCGAAGCAAACAGAAAGAGAAAATGAAAAGGAAGTAGATTGCATATCAAAATTTTACAAATTCATATGCTTAGAATTTTGGTGAATGTTCACATACCGATCATTTTAGCAATGAGCTTGAGTTCGTCCTGAGCCTCTTCGATTAGCTCCTCGACCTGACCACAGCCAAGCCGCTTTTCAATGTTCTCCCAGTCCTCTTCCTCCTGGCAAACCTTCAAGCGGTGGTTCGTGAAGCTCTCGACCGCCTTACGGTATCCTTCGTCCTCGGGAACGGCCTGGATCTCCTTTAGGGTTTTACTGTAAAGGCCGATCAAGACCTCTCGGGCGTTGGGAACAACATCCAGACCGACGATCCCCGTCGTCTGCTTCACCTTGGCCAATAATGGCCGTCCGATCGCTCGAAGAAACATCGTCGGAAAACTCCTCTCCCTCTCTCTTGATCACTCTTCTCAGTCGTGACGAGCCAGTCGCTTTGCACGTAAAGGGGACATTCTCTCCCCGTTGAGATTAATTGGAACGGGATTGCTCCTATTGGGCCTGAAGCCCAGTTTCAAAACGATGACTCTTAGAGGGCTTAAGGCCCGTGTTTCAGAAGAATTGACTTTTAATGGGCCTTAAAGCCCAGTTTTATAAAATTAACACAAAATTGAATTTCATGCGTAATAAAATATTTCAGTCTCCTAGGTTTTGAACAAAATAATAAACGTATTTATATTATTCAGAAAAACGTTGGTCCATAAAAATTTGCCACGTGGAATGCAACGCTCTGTCCATTGGTCAATTGTACATTCTTTTTTTTTTTTCTTTTCTTCTTCTTTTCACTTTCTTTTATTATATTTTGTTTATTTTCTGTTGAGATAATTATCCGTTTTCCATTTCTATTTAAACAGAAAATGAATGTTAATTGTGATAATTGATTTCTACGATACCGGCCGTCGATCTTTCTATTCTAAAGTTGGAAATGGAAAACGAGATTCTCTATTCTAATTTCTAATTTTAATTTTTTCTTCTTGGATCTCAGACTCCAAATAAATATATAAATATAAAAACCTATTTTTCCTTTTAATTCATTCAATATTTCTCCTCCCTAGAAGCACTCTCTCTCTCTCTGTAGTTGAGCCACCAGAGGGAACTAGCTCCTGCTAAGCAGATCGCCGACTCGATTTCGTCTTATCAAGGTCGTTCTCTCTTTTTTATGTAGCAATTGTGTTCCTCAAATCAGACATTTTATGTAATTGGCGTCGTACTGTTCTGAATTTCCCCCCATTCCCACCTTTTCGTATAGTTTCATGCGTGCAATTGAATTAATTTGATTGATTATTCGTTTTGACGCTGCTGTTTCTGTACTGATTTTTATGAGATTGTTGTCGATTCGTATGGATCGAAATTATGTTTTCCTTTGACTATTGATTGGTGTAGCTCAAATCGTTAGGCTTCAATCTCAATGGATTTCGTGCCCTATCTCTCCCTCTCTCTATCAATTAATGGTTAAGAACTGTGTTTATAGGCGGATTTGAACAGTTTGGGAAGTAGTTAGTTGCTTGTTAGTGGCTAGCTGTTTGACTTTCGGAGTTCTGCTTTCAACTTTTCCTACAATTATGAAGATATTATTGATCTATGTTTCTTATTCAACGCTGTAGTTTCCTAAGGTTGCACGTAATCAGCAAATAATTCACGATGTGGTCAACCACGTTACTCTTTGTAACTTAAAGATTCCTTCATCTCCCTATTTCTGAAATTCCTTTAGGTTTCAAAGTGAATGTAAAAGCTCCTTTGTAATATGCTATGTTCTCTTCATTATCTCATTGTTATAACAAAGTAAGTTCTGCTGACAGTACAAAGTTGACGGAAGGCACTGCTGAAAAAAGGTTTCCATGGCAACTTCGGAAGAGAATAGTGCATTGTTCCCGATATTTATTTTGACAATAATGGCACTGCCTTTAGTGCCTTATACTATTCTTAAGCTTTGTCGCGCTGCTTCGAAGAAGGCAAAGATTATACATTGCCAGTGTTCTGAGTGCTCCCGTTCAGGGAAGTTCCGCAAGTCAATATTTAAGCGAGTAAGTTTTCTTGATGATGTTGTATCTTCTATCTGATAAAATGATAGTTTCAAATCTGTTTCAAATGTTTGTTTCACTACATTTTGCAGATAGCAAATTTCTCAACTTACAGCAACTTGACATTGGTACTTCTTTGGATCTTCATGTTCGTGTTGGTCTATTACATTAAAAATATGAGCCGGGAGGTAAATTACCTTGAATCTTTAATGAGGAAAAAAAAATATATCCTACTGAATGTTATTTTGTTTTGGTTTTTCCCATTCGATACTTTTGAAAGTAATTATTTTCCGCATGCTAAAAAATATGTTAGACCTAATGTTGGAGTGAAAGATAATTTTATGATAACTGCACAGATTCAAGTCTTCGAGCCATTTACTATTCTAGGATTGGATACTGGGGCTTCGGAGGCAGACATAAAGAAGGCATACAGGAGACTTTCTATCCTATACCATCCAGATAAAAATCCAGATCCAGGTTAGGTATTTTAATTGTGTAGTGCTCCTATTTTATAACCTTTGCAGACCTCAGCTAATGTTTTCCTTCACGTCTTTTACTCAGAGGCCCATAAGTATTTCGTGGAGTTCATATCTAAGGCTTATCAAGCTTTAACAGATCCAATATCCCGTGAGAATTATGAAAAATATGGCCATCCAGATGGCAAGCAGGTTATTTAACTTTTTCACACACAGGAGACTAGAATAATTCTCTTGTATGGTTTTCAGATTTTGATAAATGACCCTTATAACTTAAACTTGCTAATATTTTGATGCAGGGGTTTCAAATGGGAATTGCACTCCCTCAATTCTTACTAAATATTGATGGGGCATCTGGTGGGATACTTTTACTGTGGATTGTTGGAGTTTGTATTATCTTGCCCTTGGTAATAGCCGTTATATATCTTTCAAGGTCGTCAAAATACACTGGAAACTATGTCATGCGTCAGACACTTTCCACATATTATTACTTCATGAAGCCTTCTTTGGCACCAAGGTATCTTTAGTCAAACTTTATTGGGTATTTTCCGTTTTTAGGTTTACAAAGATTAGACAATTTAATTTAAATCAAGTTTAGAGATAGCATAATATCCCGGTAAAGGATGTGTATAACCATTCTTTTTATTGGCTCTCATATTTTTTTTGGTTACACATTCTTGTTATGTTAGAATAAAATAAGACATCTTCGTGTACTACCATATGAAAAAAGTAAAGAAAAGTCTTCAGCACTTATTCATTAAGTAAGTTCTCTGTCTTTTGTTTTCTCAACATTATTAATAAATTTTGCTGTACACAGCAAAGTAATGGATGTCTTTATAAAGGCAGCTGAGTATGTGGAAATGCCAGTTCGTAGAACTGATAACGAGCCTCTTCAGAAGATATTTGGACTAGTTAGGAGTGAGTTGAATCTTGACCTCAAGAACATTAAACAAGAGCAGGCAAAGTTTTGGAAGCAACATCCAGCCCTTGTCAAGGTAACTTCTGCTCACTGCGTCTTTGTTCAGGGACTTAAATTTGTTCTTACCTTTGACATTTTGAATATGTGCATACACTTACGATTTACATCTTTTCCATTTTACATTCAGACACAATTGTTGATTCAAGCTCAATTAACTCGTGAATTTGCCAACTTGCCTCCACCTTTGGATGGTGACTTTAAACTTGTGCTGGAACTTGCCCCTCGCCTTCTTGAAGAATTAATGAAGGTGAGATGAAGCATTCTTGTTCAAAGTTTAACTGTATCTTAACATCTTTTGAATTTTCCCAGCTGCATTTAGTGTCGAGTCTTGTGTTGTATCAATCATGATATCATGTATGTTTACTATTTAACAGTTCTCTAAGCTCTTGATGAAAAATTGTGAAAGGCAATTTTGTGATTGACAAGGGAATGACTCGTTCCTGGAAGAATAGGCTCACTCTTAATCGTAATGTATTTAGAATATTGTTAAAAGACCGTTAACAACCTAGAGGCAACAATGTGCCTTAGACATGAATTGTTTCAGTAGCTTTTGGCTACCAAATGTCTGAAGAGTTGGATGGTAGTTTTTTACTTCAAACCTGCGGTCAAAGCAATTTTGGGAATTTCTCAGCATAAAAAGAGAGAGAAGAGGAAAAATTACATTTTTGGTCCCTGAGGTTTGAGTTAGGTTGTATTTAGGTCCTTGAATTTTCAAAGTCGACAATTTTGGAGTGTTTGCGTTTGGTAGCATTCTTGGTCTCTTTCTCAGTTTTTCAGTTCATTATTAACGAGAATCTGACGTGACATCGATCTTTTATTTAAAATAAAGTTCTCTTTTTCTTCATCTTTTCATTTTAACATTCAGTTTAGCTACCGTTGTGCATTGCCGTTTATTTTTCTTCTTTCTTCTCTAATCTTTCTTCTTCTTCTTCTCTTCCCCTTCCTTGACATGGTATTGTTCCTGCCCTACGAAGATGTCATGTAATCATGTCTTTTTTTTTTCTTAGATAGATTTACAGCTCGTATTTTTTTTTAGTTATTTTAATAAAAGGTCGTGTGCTATAGTATATTGTGCTTAATTATCTTCTTGTGCATAGATGGCACTGATCCCACGGAATGTCCAAGGACAAGGATGGCTACGTCCTGCAACTGGGGTCATTGAGCTCTCACAATGTATCATTCAGGTAATGTAATTTGAACGATGTTGTCATTGTAAATTTCTCGTAAATGCTTTGGAAGTCACATGGGTATTGTCTTTTTAAGGCATGTCTGGACCTTTCTATTTTTGAGAAGTACTGACTTAGTGGTGCAGTACCCATGTATCTTTCTGTCAAATATGTCGCACAAGCTTTGGCCACCATTAATTTATCTAGATCCGTATCAAATGTTAAATGCAGGCTGTACCTCTCAGTGCAAGAAAGGCCACTGGAGGATCGTCTGAAGGTATTGCACCATTTCTACAGTTGCCGCATTTTAGCGAGGCTGTCGTCAAGAAGATAGCCCGCAAGGTAGGTTAGACTCATAGCTTTGTTTTTTCTTCTCTTTTCTTTTATTATTTTTTTCTTCTTTTCTAAGGAGATTAATGAACTGTTGCCTGTTCTTATTTGCATTGCTCCATTTTCATTCCTTCCATAGTTTTCTGCTGTACCAATGCGTGTTCTTTTTCAAAGCAGAAAGTGAGAGCGTTTGAGGATCTTCAAAAACTTTCTCAAGAAGAACGTGCCGAGCTGCTTGCTCAAGTGGGTGGTTTTTTGCCTGGTGAAGTCCAAGATGTTGAAACAGTGCTGGAAATGATGCCGTCCGTGACAGTTGCTATCTCATGTGAAACAGAAGGCGAAGAGGGTATCCAAGAGGGTGATACTGTCACCATTCAGGCATGGGTGACACTCAAACGCCGAAATGGGCTGGTGGGTGCTCTCCCCCATGCCCCCTACTACCCATTTCACAAAGAAGAGAACTTCTGGTTCCTGCTTGCAGATCCGAATTCAAACAATGTCTGGTTTTACCAGAAGGTTAGTTTCATGGATGAGGCTACGGCCATAACTGTCGCTTCCAAGGCGATCGAGGAACAAATGGAGGGATCTGGAGCAAGTGTGAAGGAAACCAGTGCTGCAGTTAGGGAAGCAGTGGAGAAGGTGAAAGCGGGATCTAGACTGGTACTAGGCAAGTTCCACGCCCCAGCTGAGGGGAACTACAATTTAACTTGCTACTGCCTGTGTGATTCTTGGATCGGTTGCGATAACAAGACAAACCTGAAACTGAAAATCTTGAAACGAACCCGTGCGGGTACCCGTGGTGGCTTTATGGCAGAAGAAGGGCCATCCATGGAAGATGGAATTGAAGAGGAAGAGGAAAATGATGAAGAAGAATACGAGGATTACGAGAGTGAGTACAGTGAAGATGAAGCTGATGAACAAGATGTGAAAAAGAAGGGCCCCGTTGCCAATGGAAAAGCACGTAAGCAGCAGAGTTCAAGTTCTGAAGACTCTGGCTCTGATGATGAATGAAAAACTGTTCTGTTATTTAGTGTCACAACCACCCACTTGCGGGTAAATGGTCCCTTCCACACATCGAATAGTACATTAGAACTTTTTTCCTTTTTTTGCCTATATACCAATTTAGAAGTTTTACGGCAACCAGATCGACTTTAAAACAGATTATGCTAGAGTATCAGACCAATATTTATTACCCCCTTTTTCAAGCAATTAGTTCATGACGTTCTGCGATTTCAACAAGATAACTAATTCATCTAACCTTAGGGTTTTTTACCGACTTGTTAATAACCTATCTTATGGGTATTGTGATATCTTGTATGTGACCATTGCTTCATACAAACTCTTGGAAGACGTTTCCAACCATATTGACAATATTTTTATGTTTCGAGAGTATAAATTTTGGAGATTTTAAAAGGCATAACTATATTAAAAATGATAAAACTTTGATAAATATAATCGTTTTTATTTTAAAATCAATTTATTTTCTAAAAATAAGATATCTACAACATAATGTAATATAAACTACATGATATTTTATAACAACACATTTTTTATTATGAAATATATTCATAAATTAGTTAATAATTTTTAAATTTGCTACTAAATACATATCTTAAAATATAAAATACAACTTTCGTTAGCAAAAAAAAAAAAAAAAAAAAAAAAAAAAAAAAAAAAAAAAAAAAAAAAAAAAAAA